GGGTGTTCTTAACAAAACAATTTGTCATGGGGTTAAATATATAATCCATGACGTAATACATGTAACTGTTGGTCTAATATTCATGAAATTAAATTGATTTAATGAAAGTACATGTAAAAAAAAAAACAACTTGTGAATACCATTTCTGAATCACAAGATCAAAAAGTTTAAAAGTCACATGCATTTGTTTATTTTCATTCATTTATAATGCATACAGGTAGTACTTTTCAAACACTGGTCAGCTTTACCTCGGTCGTTTTAACAAAGAACAAAAAAAAAAAAAACCGAATGTAGATGTATTTTTAATTATTAAAAGATTCATACACATGGCATTGCATGATTTATGATTTAGCCCCCTTCCCCGCAGTCACGCATTTTAACGCATATACCATTTCCTATTTCTAACGCAAAATCACGCATATACCGTTTCCCCGCAATCACGCATTTTCACGCACTTTTAAAAGTTCATTTAATCTTAAATTTAATGCCAATTTCCTTCTATTTTATACTTGCAAAAATCTCATAAAATAAGAAAAGTTATATTTGTATTAAAATATTACGTCATAAAATTATTTACGCTAAACTTTGGAGAAACTTGTACCACGCTATAAGGTGCTTGCGGGGAAATGGTAAATTTCTATTTCTATGACGTGAACATTAAATGTATGTTTCATAACAGTTCATTGAGTTGTAGACACATGTGATGTTTTTTATTCGCATTTTTCAAATTTATATATTATTTCTTATAAATTTCCGATATTATTCGATTAATGATAATGAGAAAATTTGACGAAAATTAAATGAGTAGATTATTATTATGAGGGCCCTTCAAAAAATAATCTAATTTATTGCACAGAAATAATTACGACACAAACAAACAGAAAGTCAGTGATAATAAAGTCGCAATGTATTAATTAAAATCATCGACGACGAGAACTTTGTATAAAAATACGCTCTGATTTTCTGAAGTACCCCTTAAATGATTGAATACACTTTTAATTAACATATCAACATAGCATAAACATCTACGTTAAAATTCTTCTTCATCTAGAAATCTATACAACATACATGTATATAATTACCTGACTTGTATTTTTTAGTTTATTAATTTTCTAGAATAATTTTATTTTGTTTCTATTCTAGCCTCTCATTGGTTGATTTCCAAAAAGGCACGCAAATTATTATGTTTAATCTGGTTTGGTATGGGGACACACCCTTGACAACCAGCTGAATCATCTGTATTCATTCATTTCAAGTCCTCGGATTTTATGGAAATTTCCAGATTTAATAAATTTACCTTTAACTTCAAACAATAGCTCAATCTACTTCATGTAAACAAACATGGCTGCTAGTTTTTATATCAGTTATTACCTCCCCTCGCTTTCCATTACTTCCGTTACCACGGTTGTTTTATTGAGTGGCAAATTTAAACTCATAAAAATCAATTGTAGATCCACAGTTTTTTAATTATTTTTAAATCATATTATAAGGAATGACTCTAATTATTGGCCAAATTATTCGAAATAACCTGGTTTGCTCAGTGTACGCTCTTTTAAAGCGTAAACTGACCAACACCAGGTTATATCGAATGATTTGGCCAAGAATTAGAGTCATTCTTTAAATATCGTAAATTTTTGCAGATGTTTTCTTAGGGATCACATTGAAGAGAAATGGCAACATTTCTGTAAGTGATTTAAATACTAACTCAGATATTTTAGTAAAACTTATATGTAGTACACATGTAATCATAAGGAATGTACATGTAACAGCTACAGTAGCGACCGGACACAACCTAACACCAGAGCGAATCCGGAGCGGACCCCGGGTTCGCTTCCCGGGTTCGCTCGGGTTCCGCTTCGGGTTTACTTTTAGAAATTTTGGGACCGCTCCGGGTGCGCTTTGGGTGCGCTCCGCGTTCGCTCGGGGTCAGCTCTGCGTCCGCTAGAGCAAACCCGGCGTTCGCTTCCTGGGACCGCTTTACGCAATGATGCGTGAAGCGGACCCCGCTTTAATCTCACCGCCAGTAAGCCCCGCCCCTTGTATATTCCAATACAGTAATGGTATTGTGGATCGATCATTGCTGTTTTTGCGACGATGCGGACATGTACATGTAATTAAGAATCAAGGGTAGTGATTTTGATGAGAAAAAAAAACAGAGGCAGAAACAGAGACTACATTATTAAAAACCTAGTTAATTTCTCAAAAAATATCTCAAAACTTAAGTTCAAACAAAACAAATCAATGATTATAAATTGTCAAATATTTGACGAACTTATGTGGGGGTCGAAGGAAAATTTCTTTTGAATAAGCTAATAAAAATAATGACTTATATGCGGACTGATTATAGATGTATATATATTGAATGTATATATAGTAATAAAACATTTGAAAGAAACATGATCGAAAATTATCGAATAATTTCTCGAATTATAGAAAATAAAAAAAGTAAAACTTTGGATAATTAAATTTTGTATTTTTCTTAATTTTTCCGTGCATATACACAACAACAAAATTAAAACATCAATATGTTTAAGGTAGGATTCTTCTCTTGTTTTTCAGTAGATGAAACATTCAATATGTATTTGCTTATATGTCTAATTTATTTTGCTGAAAGAGATTTAAAAGACTTTATTTTTCTTTCCTCATCACAATTGTACAACTTTAAATACAAAAGGTCATTTGTGTTTGAAAACTAGCAGGGACTATGTTTTGGCGGAATGGTGGCGTATGAAAGAATGATATGGAGATAACGAACAGTATTCAATCTCAAAGTCAATTAAACAATATACAAAATAAAAGCAGAGCAAACACGGACCTCCGAAAATCAGAGGTGGGATCAGGTGCCATGGAGGAGTGAGCATCCCCAACCGACAAGTCACACCCGCCGTGTGTTCGTTGTCATGATCAGGAAATAACGGAAAAAAAATCCGTCGTCAATTTAGTTATAATTTTTACACAATCAAAGACTAGAAGATTTTTCAAATATTAGCTGAATTAATAATAAAGAACTAAAATTTCAAAACATATGAAATAAATATAAATTTCCAAACGAACTACAATTATGTTAGCTTTTAAAAGTTTCGACTCTACGCACAAATTAGAACCAAAAATCCATAGAAAGTGTTTTTACTCTCTTACTAAACGGTCATAACCTTTTTGTTTTTGTATCATTTTGTATCTCTATATGACTGTTTTATCATGTGTGAAAATAAGAAAAAGTTAAATATAGGGTGCATATAAAAAAAAACTTAAACAACCTAAAAATTTAAGAAAAAACAGATAAAATTCGGATTAGCAAAACTCCATTTTTGTTAAATTATTTGTGTCGATTTGGAAATATCATCTTATAGACCCTATATAGTAATATCTTTTTATGCAAAAAAGAAAAACATTTTATCTTTTGAAAAGAAGACCATATATCATGATTGGATGCTGTTATTCTTATTCTTAATGAGAAGGGAAATGGTTATGACCTTGACCTGACCTTAACTCTAATATAAAACGGTCAAAACTAATCTAACTAATACCATCACTTAATACTGTAAACCAATTATTATACGCGTCATTTTTTATTCGCGACTGACCGCTAGAGAACTAATCCGCGACGATTTATTTCCGCGAACCAGTGGTCACATTTTTTTTTCCACGAGTATTTTTGAATCAAATTAAAATTTTTTTATCCGCCCATAAACTAGGTAAAGCGTGGTAGCGTGAGATCTGCTTACGCATTATTCAAGACAATCTGTGCATTGCGTCCATTTAAAATCTTATATCCGCCCCTAAAGTGGGTAAAATGTTTACCATGAGTATACTTCAGACGCATTTTCACAACGCTCAAACGAAAATCGGGAAAAAATCTAGGAGATTAAGATTGATTTAAAACTCTCAATTGTAATAGTGCCTCATACTAATTGGGAAATCGACGCTTTCTAAGATCTACATAGCCAAGGGCAATTATTATAAATGGTTGGGACAGAACAGGACTGGGCCTTAATTAGCCGTAATTAACCAGGATATCTCTGACTCGTCTGTAACAATTAATGAACAATAATAACACAAGCTGAAATGATTATTGACATTTTAATCATTTTAGACAAATAGTTTTAGATTTGCCATTCGTTTTTATTTTTCTGAATGTTTGTAATTAAATTTCAACTCCTTCTTGTACACTAACAGTAAAGTTCTTCCGTGATTACTTGTTGAACCGTCGGGATCGGTATTGAAAAAAGGGCAAATAACTCTAAATAAATTATGATATGGGAATATACTGAACAACTGGTTCGCGACGATAAATATCCGCGAGCAGAGGATACTCGCGGAACTCGCGGATATTTATCCCACGCGTATTATACTTGGTTTACAGTAATATTTTCATCTTTGTTCTGTGAAAATTCAATCAATTTACAAGAAATACAGTTTTGAGTTAGAAGAATCCTACCTCAAGAGAAATTAATTATAAATAAAGAAATATATACACTGTAACATAATTAAGTACTTGAGAGTTTAAAAGGATGTCTATGTGAAATTTTATAATAAAAATACTTTATTTTCAATGTTAAAGGCCGTCAAGGTAGCTCAATCGGTTGAGCGCTCTCTCCGTGATCAAAAGTTCGAATGTAGGATTCACGGCCGCGACTGACCTAATTCGATAAAAAAAAATAGGTAGCAACTGTTCCTTCGTCATGCGCTCGGCACTACGAAGTGAAAGATATTGGTCCTTCGGATGAGACCCTGTGTAACAGTAGGCGTTGGCACGGTAATGTTTTGTCACTACTCTATGGTTTTGAATGTCACGTTAAGGTCTGAATAAATCTGAAGCCCTTCAACGGAATATGGTGACATCTCTATATGAGTGAAAAAGTCGTATAGCAACACACAATTATCAAATCCCGACTCTTTTATATATAGCTTTACTTTTATGAACGTTTGTTATTCTATTAAACACTGAATTTAACATTGTCATTGATATTTGGGTTAAGGTTGAATACATTCCTAGATTGCTCTGCTCCATTTGACTGTTACGACCTCTACAAATGTGGTAAAAGGAAGACTGGAATTTATAAAATATTCCCTTATAAAAGTGACAAGAACCTCACTTCTGTTCCCGTGTTGTGTGACATGGATTCATCTGAAGGTGGTTGGACGGTAATATATCTTATGACAATAACTCTCAAAATTTCTTTTTTCAGTTTTAAACAAAAATTTAGAAATGATGTGTTCAAAGATCTTTCAATTAATATATTTTAATGGAATAATTTTCTTTTTTCAGGGATAATGGTATTCTTAAGCGTATTCCTTGTCTTTGAAATATAATTTTTTTTTAGGTCATTCAGCACAGGAAGCGGGATAATCCCCGTGTAAATTTCAACACAACCTGGGATGATTATAAGCGAGGTTTTGGTGATGTAAATGGAAATTATTGGCTTGGTAGATGCATTTGCACAAACATAGTCAACATATTCACATATCGAATCTGGATATATACATGTTATAAATATCAGTAACAGAATTGTTCATTTCTATTTTCTATTCAAGGATAGTACTCATACTCTGGCGTGCTCTTATTGTCATTATTTAGATGTACGACTCTTGTTGGTTATCACATTTTACACAGTTCGTCATACAATGCAATTTGCATTTTTATTGAATTAAGCTCTACTAGTATGCAAGAAGTTACCATTAGAATATTACACTTTGCCAATGGTCTCAGTTACATAAACATACAGCCTGATAAAGATGGTCTAAAAAAATCCATTACAAAAAAGTGTCCAGGAGGTACAATTTGTTGTCACAAAATAGACAAACATTACTAAATATTTTTCTAAGAAAAGCCTTATTCTGGAGAAAAAAAATGAATAATTGTCTACACTGAAATTAAATTATAAAGAATGAAGCTAATTTCAACTTATGTTATACAGGGTGTCCCAGAATATATGATACCATTTCTTGTTTGAATAAAACACAACTTAATGAATATTGAATAAAAACAAATACATTGTTGATATGTCATATATTGTCCAATTTTGCTAAAATAATTTGATAGACATCAAAAAGAAAACAACAAGATTAGAACACTTTAAATTTTGATACAGTTTTTACATGATGTGCTCCAAATGACGTCCTTCCTAGTGACGATGTTGAGACGTTGCATGAAATTCCTAATGACTGCGGCACATGTCTCGTCAGTAATCTTCCTGATTTCCCTCCGAATTGCATGTTTTAAGTCTGCTAAGGATTCAAGCTCTGGCTTGTACACATTGTCTTTTAGGTATCCCCACAAAAAGAAATCCAGAGGGCTTAGTTTGGGGGAATGAGGGGGCCAAATGTGTGTAGTTTTGAAAGAGATAAAATTTCCATTGAATGTTTCTTGTAGCCAGTCAGTAACATTTCGAGTTGTGTGAGGCGTTGATCCGTCCTGTTGGAACCATATATCCTGAGGATTAAAACCCCTTCTTACTAAACATGGCAAGAATTTCTTTTTCAAAAGTTCAAAATAGCGAGTACTGTTAACAGTCTGTGTTTCGCCTGTTTCATCTTCAAAGAAAAAAGGCCCGATTATCCCTCTAGAGCTCATGGCAGCCCAAACTGTTATTTTCTCTCCATGAACAGGTTTTTCCAGATAAAGATTTGGTTTTTCGCTACCCCAGTATCGAGAATTTCTCTTGTTTAAGTAGAAATGAGCTTCATCGGAAAACCAAATTTCATTGACTATATTTTCATGCTCCCTTATCCATTGAACAAAAGTAAGGCGTCTCTCAATGTCACTTTGCTTAAGGTGCTGCATTACAGATCTTCTATAAGGCTTTAAGTGTAGGTCAAATCTTAACATTCTGTGAATACTGGATCGGCTACATGACAAAGTGTTACTCACATCACTTAAAACTTTCCTCACAGATCTTTGTGGTGTCTCCTCTATAACTTGTTGCACCTGTTGAATACTCTCTGGAATCCTCACTGACTTTGGTCTGCCTCCATTGTTCTGTCTGTTTTCTTGAATGGATCCTGTTTGCTCAAACTTTTTTTACAATTCTTAATATTTGCTGCTTGTTACAGTAACTGGAGACTGGGTTTGGTAATATAGTTTTAAAATAAGGGTAGCTCGCTCCTTTGATAAATCCATTTTAATTTAAAGACAGTTTTCAATGCAATATTATGAGGTAATTTTGTGACATCACAATACCAAAAAATTGAGATTTTTCCCGCCATTTTTTGGTGCTATAAAATTGTATTTATCCATTTTATAACTTACACAAAAATCAAAGAAATTGGTTAAAGCATTTGTTTTTTTATGGTTATTTCAAAGGGTATCATATATTTTGGGACACCCTGTACGATATAACAAAACTTGGGACAGTTTACGCTTTTTTATAAACCGCTTCGCGGTTTTATAAAGCGTAAACTGCCCCATGTTATGTTATATCGTATAACATTAATTGGAATTAGCTTCCTTTAATTTATTCATAATCTCCACATCAAGTGCTCTACGTATGAACAATTTTCTTAAACGAAATAAATTGTTGACAAAAAAGAATATCAGGAGTCTCTTTTAATGCCATCATTTCGTTCGTTCTATGGTCAATAGAATCCCCTTGTCAGCGAAGACAATTTATCATGGAGTCGAATACTGACCGACGTTTTTCATACTACTAATCTAATTGTAATTTCATTATTAATACACAGAAATAACGACGGATTTACGTTATTTTCCGATTATGACAAGGAGCTAACGGCAGGTGTAACTGGTCAGCATGCTGGGAGTGTTCAATCCTCACTTGCACCTGATCCCTTTTCTGATGTTTTGGAGGTCCATGTTGATGTTTATATACTTCGTTTTAAGATTTTGTCTAAGTTTCCTTTTTGAATAATACAACTTAATATCTTTCTTAATCTACATGTGAACGATGTCAGAGCGGAACTACAGTAGGCATCTATGTCATCTGTAATATCTTGCATATTGCAGTAATAAAATCGCTTGGCATACTAGAATGTTAACAAGATTACGTTCAATAAATGACGTTGCAGTCATAAATGACATCAAAATCCAACAATTTTTAACTAGCAATATAAAAGCAAAACTTTGAATTTAGCTTAAGAAAAATATATCTTAATATTTTTTATTTTACCTCGATTCTTGATAGTTTTAAATTCTTGACTAATTCGTGTACGTATTTGAAAATTCTCTTATTGTATTAAATACTTTTTACTGTAAAACTGGTTTAAAACGGTTTTGAAAAATATTTTTTATCTTAATCAGTCAATAACAATTAATAGTACCAACAACTATACCGCGTTTACATGCATGTATAGAGCACTAAAACCACGAACTACAAAGCAAAATTTGATCTAAAAAAATTAAGTTATCCTGAGAGGCCCCAGATTGGCATCAATAATTTTTCTCCTCAGTAGATTTATTTATTGTTTTCAATTTACGATAGATAGATAGCATGCAATCATATACATCTGTATAACAATTTTTACCTGTAAAAATGTATTGATCAGTTTTTAATTGATGTTTTTGGTTTTTGTGCGTTTATTTAAAAATAAATTTAAACGAATGCATGAAAAATTCTAAAAAATTATCCTGAGAGGCCCCATATTGGCACCAATTCAATTTATCCTCAGTAGATTTATTTTATGTTTTCAATACACATGTACATGTATATTGTAGATAGCATGAATTCATATACATCTGTAAAACATTTTTTACCTGTAAAAATTGTATTATTAGTTTTTTAATTGATGGTTTTTGTGTGTTTATCGATAAATAAGTTTAGCACAAAATTGCTTTCGATAGACTCGATCTTTATACAGTATACACATCCATTATAAAGTCAATACAAAATATAATGTGCATGCATTATTGTTCGTGGGCGACATGTGTTCATGAATTTCTTGGATACACTGCAATAAACGTTCCAAAGACTATCGAAGCATACTTGCATTTATTTACAGTTAATATTTTGATCTAACTTAAATATGCCAGGCATCCACAAAATCAGACCTCCTCAAATAAGTGGAATTTTTGTTACTAGTCGCTGTTGAATTATTCAGGTGTGCATTATTCAGCCACCCCACAATATGCACAGGCTTCAGTGTTCAATAAAAATGCATATGAAAGTGTTTATGAACTGCATTTTCCCCTTTTTCAAGTTCATTTGACTTTGATCTGTAACACTTAGAAAAAAATTCAGAGAATTTGTGTTCCCCGCGTAGGGAAAAAAAGAAAAGCATGCGCAGTTCGGGGGGGGGGGGGATCGGATCCCCCTGATTTTGTAGAATTATTACATTTCTACATACATATTAAAGCAATAAAAATGCCAATATGAATATAATGGTTGGATTGCTTATTCTTAATTAAGTGTATAGAAGATTTTTTGATGTAGAATATTTATTACACTGTAATGATAATTTTATGAATTAGAACAAGCCATAACTTTTTTTTTCATTTTTCATGCTTAATACTATGATTTAGTAAAATAAAAAGTTTTCAAATATTAAAAAAAACGGATCGTCCGGGATTCAAACCCGGAACTTCTCACATATTAAGAAAGAGATATATACCCCTACAGCACAGATACGCTTCCTTCTTACATAAATTATATGCAAATAGTAATTCACATACATGGGTATATTCACGTTCGAAATTGTCAAAATTTTTACACAATGCAGGTGTCTAATTTAGCCTTCATTATACTTTTCTAATATATGTCATAGGAATAAAAAGTCCGCCGACAACCTGTACATGGAGTATGACCTAATGTACTTATTGTTACCTAGTCACATGATCTATGAATATTTTTAGAAAGTGAAATACGAAATGAATTTTATATACCTTCAACAGAGTTTATTCTAGAAAAAAATTGAAATCTGCTGGCATCTCTGATTTTCCATAGGATCATTCTCTGACATTATATTTAGACATCATATGTTTGTAAAGAGAAAATATACCCACATCCTTTGAGGTAAAGTGTTTTATGATGATCCATTCAATGACTGATTGATTGAATATATATTGTTTAACGTCCCTCTCGAGAATTTTTCACTCATATGGAGACGCCGCCACTTGCCGGTGGAGAGCTGCAAATTTTGTCCTATACTCGGCACTTAGGGCTAGTGATGCTTTTCAATGCCAATAATACAGAGATATGTAACACAATAAGCTTCTGAAACGTGTTTACAAAACCATGTAGCATAAAATTATATAACGCTTTTTCAATATAGTTTCGATGTTATTTTATAATAATAAATACACATGTAACTGATACATTGCGCTAATTTTAGCATATTGCTTCTCAATCAAAGGGTAGGGTTTCCAAATACCAGTTAAAAAAGCACACATTATGTGATATTAAACATTATTATCCTTCAGAATTATGCAGTCAATCTGATTGGTTTAGAGCAGGTCACGTGCAGGGAGACAACTCGTTATGTCTCCCTCACGCACAGGGTGACAACTGTTATCTCCCTTCAGATGACAATGAAATAGCGTAAGCGAGCATGCAGGGTTACAACTGTGTTGTCGCCCTTTGAATAAAACTACAGTGGTTTAAGCGAGATAACTCCTGTTTATAAGTACAATGGCTAAATATGCGGGATCTCTAAACAATAAATTCTAACGATGACATCAAAGTTGTCTGTTGACATATTTTAAAAGTATGGAAACGGAGCAGAGTAGAAGAAAACAAGGTTTGATTACTATTTACTACTCTATCTAATTAATAATTGTATATTCTTCAGGATAATAAAAGCGCCCTCGGCTGACAACCCTACTCAGACTTGATAATTGGTGATGTCTCCCTTCTAAACAATCCATAATTGTATAGTGCATTGCATGATTATGTGCATAATGTTTGCATTCTATATAACTGTACAGATTTCTTTGATGTCTCAAAATATAAAATTTCACCCTGACAAAATCTGGCGTAAAAGTCTAGCAAACCTGCATGATTCAATAGAAAAAATAAGAAATCAAGGGGATTTTCTGTAGATGCTTTTGAAAAACGTGTGAAAGAGATGCAAGATCCATTCAAGAATCATATCATTTTCAAGCCATTTTTTTACACTGAGTCTTAGGATATTTTCTGTTAATTATTTGCCGATCATGACAAAGAGCTAACTCCTCCATGACACTAGATTCAACCTCTGATGTTTTGGAAGTCAATGTTTGCGCCCCTCTAATTTTGTCATGTTTCTGGGCTCGAATGATAGCGCTGTTTCGTTATCTACACATACTAGTATTTCATTACATATATTTGAATGATAAGACGGGGGACTAACAATGATTAAAACAGCATTGCGGAAATATTTCCTGTGAATAAGAAACAACACAAACAGTATTTTCCTGTTTCTAAACATAAATTGTTTGATTTCATGTTCAACAGTTTAAAGGTCATTAAAAGGCATATGATGTATATACTTTTTAAACGCCTTGTTTTAGATCACCTGAGCTTTACTGACACCAATTGTCCGTCTTTCGTTCGTTCGTCTTGTTACCCGTCTGTTCATCTGTCTGTCTGTCAATTTTTCACATTTTTGACATCTGCTCAAAAACCATAGGTCAATTTTAAGCAAACTTGGTACAAAAGATCTTTGAATTATGGATAGTTAAAATTGTAAGCATTGCCAAGTCCTCTCCGAAGGAGGGATAATGAAAAAGAAGTAGACTGGAGTCATGAAAAATCTTAAGAACCACTGGGCCAGAAAAACTGAAACTCATGTGGAAGTATCCTGGGTAGTGTAAAGTCTATTTTTTTTAAATCATGACCCCTGGGGGTAGGGCGGGGCCACAATAGAGAATCCAAGTTTTACATAGAAATATATAGGAAAATTCTTCAGAAATATTTTTCTCAAGACCAAATGACCAGGAAAAGCTGAACCTCCTGTAAAAGCATCCTGGGGTATTGAAGGTTATGACCGCTGGACATAGGGCGGGGCAAGAATGGGGAATTCAAGTTTAATATACATTAAAAAATATATACAGTTACAAAGTATATACATTTAATATACATTAAAAAAAACGATCGAAATCTTCTCCTCAAGAACTATTGGGCCAGAAAAGCTTAAACTTATAAGAGGCATACTTGGGTATTGTAGATTGTATATTGTACAATTCATGACCCGGGGGAGGTTAATGGCCACAATAGGTATTAAAAGGGGCATTCCGGTAAAGAATGGCTTCAACAGTCAATTGAATGAGCGTTGTGGCCCATGGGCTTCTTTTTTTTTATTTTCTAAATTAGAAAATAATATTTAAAAAAGTTTTTCGAAAAGAAAGGGCTGTATGTTTAAATTACTCTTAGCCCATTGGAGAAAAATCTCAATTGAAACATCCGTAAATATAAAGCAAGCGCGCAGACTTTAAGTATTATTTAGAGAACGAGACGGGTTCTGTTTCATAGATACACATTTTGGGGTGGATACTAGTGCGCAGCACGAGTCTCCACCCCCAAATTTGTATCTACGATCTACGATACAGAACCTGTCAAGTTTTCAAAATGATTTGTGACACGATCAGTCAAAAATAGCTCCGTCTACTATATAACTTTGCAGCATCCAAACTTTCGCCAGAGTTCTGTAGATGAGGCCCCGACGGGGAGTACGCATCCGCAGTATATATTTATTTCCACGGAAAACTTAAAATTTGGTCAGATTAGTTTTGAAAATTTAACGGGGTAGACGTAATCGAGTGATAGTCAGTCTTAATGGAGAAATTGGAGGATTTAACCGTCATTGTTGTGATCTATTGTAGATGGAGATTTATCATAATTTATTTTAGGGGTCTTAAAATCCTGATTTAACTGGATTAACAACAACAGGATTTACAGAAAACTATTCGATGGACTTTTATGTCACGGATTTTATTTTCAAATTGAATTGCGACATTGAACATGAAATGAAAGAGATGTGTGGCTTTTGTCAGCAAGAAGGATTTTAAAAACGCGAAAAAAATGGACTTGAATGATTTTGCACGAGGAGAGTGGATGTTTTTAGTTATTGCGAATTTTCCGTTTCGTTTGGAACGAAATTACGTACAGAGGATGTTTTCCGTTATTGCGAATTTTCCTTTTCCTTTGGATCGAAATTATGTGTTAATTCTGTGTGGAATAAGTTTTTAAAAAGTGATTGAGAAATTTTGACATTTTTAATTCTCAGGAAAATACTGGGAATTTCTCCAAAATTATGATATTAAAACATCAGCATTTACTATTTGTATGTTCTTTTGCTGAATCAAATTATTTTTAAACCATGCTGTATTTTAGATACAGATTAGTTGGCAAATACAATACTATATACAGGGCTAATACAGAACGGAAAGTAGCTCCCCCACGACAGTCCCGTTCTGTTTTGCTAATACAGAACAGTAAACGTCAGAGAAAAACACCGCAATCGTGTCACAATATCAAGTAATTGATTTTCACTATAAGAACCTAGGAAGAAATAAAGAGCACAGATTCAGTGATGAAAATAAAACAACATTGGTAAATTGATTTCAAACCTTTTTTTTATTCAGGAAATGATGCAATTCATACTCTGACAACAGCATACAACAATTCACTGTTCATCAGATTCAAATCTACGACGAATCAGTCATTTGAAGCACAATATTCCTCATTTTCACTCTCTGATGAAACTGGAGACTACAGGCTTTCCTTGGGGAATATGTCGGGTAATATAGGTAGATCACATGTTTCCCTTCTTTTAATTTATTTCAGACATGAATAAAACTTTGTAAAAAAACAAAACTCCAATTAATTTTTCTTATATTTCATATACTTTTTACTTTTTCCATAGTTGATGCATTCAGATCTTGGCACCCGGTGGTCAACCATTCCTTTAGTACATTTGACCACGACAACACGCACAGCAGGTGTCCAGCCTCTCGGAAATCTGGGTGGTGGTTCAATGATTGTACTCTCGTGAATCTAAATGCTCCTTTTTTTGAATTTCATAGTGACCAGGTTTGGGACGAAATTATTTCCTCTGGAAAATATCTTTTCTCTTCTGAGATGTTAATTAGAAGAATGTAGTTAATGCTAATTTTTCAAATATGAAAAAAATATTTATCAGTGATTTAACAAAACAAAACATAAATCCTTCTAATGCATTTCAGGAATAGGAATAATGTTTATTAAATATGTCTGATTTAAGTCTCTTTAAAGTCTTTACTCATAAAGTGGTTTAAATTCAAATTTAAAAATACATGTTGGGTTTTAAGTTATCTCCATCTCCTTTTATACTGAGATATTTACACGTATTTCACTTTCATTATATAATTTACCATTATGTCATATCTTCATTTAAAGAGTAAGTTATTTTAACTCGGTGAATCATGAATATTTTTATTAGGATGACCTAAGTTATATTCTATAATTGACAAAATGAAAATTTTTATATTTCTTAGTTTTAAATAACTATTATAGTGTTATGCATGTCTTTTTTGTGCATGCTTGTTTTACTTTGTTTGAATTATTCGTATTATTTAAATTCCTTTGCTTTGTGACCAAAATATTTAAGTAAGAAGAGAATAAAAAAATCATAATACGTGTAAATGTTTAAATGTGTTTTTTTGAATTTATATATAGTGTTTTAATATTTTAACTTGCGACTGTACTTGCAACCTGCAAATGACACTTTCTTGCTGAAGTAAACTGATAACTTTTAAAGTCTCACTAGATCTATGGACGTATGTTTGTCATTGTATTAATTTCATTTTTTAAATATGTTTTCGTAATTCAGGATATGAAAACATAAGCCCTAAAAGTACTTATTTGCTTTTCAATACTTTACATAAGGAAACCTATAGAATAATCTCATCAAAATCTGTAAACAATAGATAGTTTTCGATAGACCAGAATTTAGCGAGAATTATTTCCCGTTGGCCGGCATACTGGAGGTCCAAGTGCTCATATTCTTTCATTGTTCAACCAATTTAAAATTTTTATATTTGCTACTAGTATTTTGAATTAGAAATCATTATTTTTCTGAAGTATATAGATTTTTGAAAGCCTTTTTTATTTAAAAAAAATTATTTATTAAAGATTTTCCATCAAATATATCCGCTACAACCTCTTAAACTTGGTAAGACAAAGAGGGAAAATCACCGAGTCGACCTCCAATATGGCGACCTACGGGAGGTAACTTTCGCTAAAATCAGGCCTATCGAAAACTTATACATATATGTAAGCTGGGAATAAAACACAGATTCTGGAAATTCTATGGCTGAGATCAGATAACTAAGAGAAAAAATAATCCCTGTTTACGGGTCTCACACGCCGAGAACCCTATTTAGGGTTCTCCATCAATTGAAATTGAACTGTGGTCCAAGAATTGTGCGAAGTTCTGATATTCGCGGTCATTTCGCGACCTATTCAAATTCAAAATTGAATTTAAAAACACATGCTTATTTTGTATCTATAAATCAATATTCAAATACAAATAGCATTAATTATTTTGCAAAATGTTTGATTAAATTTAGAATAATAATTTTAAAAATGATATCGATTAGGAATAGTGAAGAAAGAAGTATTTCCACAATACTTATTGTGAAAAAGACGCCCCCCCCCCATTCATTAACACACATAAGGACTAAATAAATAGATATTTGCTAATAGAATGTGAAAAAAGTATCAGTAAATAAAAGACTGTTTTTCAAAAGGTAAATATACACACACAGTGTTCATTAAAGATCGACAAAGGAAATTCTTGTAGGTCGCATATGACACATGCGATGTTTTGACTCGCAGTACAAGCGTAATGTTAGAGACATCGTTAACTGTGGAACTATTTAGGCATGAACTAATTGTTGATTAAAAATTCCTTTGTAATTATCGTGCAGTGTGAAAAACAACTTCATGTGTCCTACGAGGTCTAGAAGATAATTGATTGTGCAAGCTAAACAATGGGCCCAAATTATAGTAAATTTAGTTGTAAATAGATCAGCATTAGAAACTGAACACGGTACATAATTTTGTGGTTAAGAAGTCTATTTGCATGATTGTTTTTAAATATAACTATAGCGGAACTATGGTGCTGATTTCTGGGAGTTGAACTATGTTCAATCTCCCATGGTTTTCACGCATTTAACATACGCAGTGATTTGTGTTGATTATATAGAGCCGAAACCAAGGCTTCTGTGTCGACCAATTTACTCCGATTTATTCAACAGAAAACATGCATAAACATCCGCCACAAATATTTCATGTCATTTTCTCCTGAATTGATAAAATTTCTATAATTTGAAATGTAAGTAAATATAATGATAAAGTAATCTTTATATGAATATTGATTTCGTTCAAAAGAAAACTAAATTATAAAGAACTAAATTATAAAGAGTTTTTCGTAATGGAACTATTTTTAGTGTAGCGTCATCTATAAACACTGCAAGAGATACGAACGACAACTCTACATACTGACAGCAAGCGGTAAATCTAGTCTTCCCGACTACCGAAAGTCCTAGATTTTGGTTTTCTAGCAATTTCTTTTTACCGGTGCAAAGATTTTATTCAAACTTTTCATGAACATTTTCTTGATTTAAATGAATTCATCAATGCATAAAAACTTTATGAAACATGTGTATTTATTACTAAATCAGCAGTATCACCTGCCAAAAATTGGTAAATTTAGTACTCTGTTATAAATGTTAAAACCAAAAACAGACACTGATGTTTTCGTAGAATCGCGATTAAACAAAAAAAATTATATTTTTTCTTAAATAAAAGGAAAACCTCATTTATATACCATATAATTTGTACTAACACAAACTCTCATATATACCAATGTTTTTATGTTTGGTCATTTTAAAAATGTTTTTCACTTGGTATTGCTTTTTTCTTCACAATATTAAAAAAATCAAGTTCTGATGTACTCAATGTATAATGTTCGTGTAATTGAAATACATTTATATTCATAGAGAAATTTTATATAATAAACCTGTTATTTTTTTTTTAAATCCACATTTTATCAACATTGATATTATTCCTGTGAAACTGAAATTTTTAACACATGAGTAAAGGTGCCAAGGAATAATAAATTACAAATTTGAAGATGATCTAGAGGTACTGTGAGTAGTGAATAATATAAATGATCAACCGCCTCTAATATGAATATAATGGCAGTGTCCAAGTTCTGCAATGGGAAACCCAAAATATGTGTAGGATGAAAAAGAAACACAAGGTGCACAAAGGCAATATGTAATAAAGATTCTTTGAAAATTTCATTCAGTGGTGTAAGAGGAGTTGCGGATAAGAAATTGGTATACCTAAAGCGTAACAAACAGATGGACGAACATCCTTATTAATAAATACCCTCCAGCTTTTCAAGCAGAAGGTTTAAAGAAAAAAAGGACCAATGTAGGCAGGCAATCATTTTGTCCCATGTTTTTTTTTTTTTTTTTTTTGCTATTCAATATCTCTGAATGTCTTTCTCAAGGTTGTTGCAATACAAAAAATCTTAAACAGTTGTCTGTATTTGAAATAATAATATTATTTTACACCATGTTCCACTCCCACGAGTACTTTCAGTACTTTGATTAACTGTGGCGCTAAGGAATTTGACTGTGGCAGGGCCGCCGCGTTAAACGACCTATGGAGAACACAACCCTTTGTATAGATAAAGTTAAAACGGATTTTTTTGTTATCGAATTCTATATAAGAGTAGAGCTCTAACGCTTAGCCTACATACTGTGAGATCACAAGTTTTCGTCGGGTTTAATTTCGTTGTTTTCGAGACCCATGAATTCATGAATCCACCACGCAATGTAAAATGTTATATACATAAGTACATATTAATTTTTGATCAACAAATTTCAATCTTAAAGAACAAAGAGATTTGGCTGAAACAACGAAAATTTGACGCTACGAAATATGTGATTTTACAGTACGTCTCAATTACGAATTGTATTTGCTAACAAATTCATCATTTCGACCATATATAGAATTAACGAAACGCTGGCTTTGAGTGAGGTTGTTGCAACATAAACTTATCTGTCAGTAAAGTTCCTCTGTTTAAAAAATGAGCATTTTCCATATGCGGATGATACTGGGATATAACAACATAAACTATTGGTACTGTGGCATTGGGGTCACTAAATGATACCACCTCTTCCTATATGAATATATTGGCAGTGTCCACATTCTGCTTTGGGAAACCAAAAATACGTCTAAGATCAAAACGTAAAATAAGAGGTCGCAATGGCAATATTTAATACGGATTTTGTGAATGTTTCATGAAATTTAAATTAGTGGTATGAGAGGAGTTGCGGATAAGAGTTGGGTACCCCAAAGCGTAACAGACAGACGGACGGACGGACATACCGATTATTAAATACCATCCCGCTTTTCAAGTGGGGGTATTATAAAAAAAAAAGCTACCGATGGAAAGGCGAAAGTCATTTTCTTAAGTAATTTAGTTGTTAGTTGTTTTTTTTTCTATTATGTTTTTTATTCACACAACATAAAGCATTCTATGCATATATAAGACTTTAAAAGAACAGATGTGATTTTCTAATTTTACGATGAAAACCTCAAATATGAGGTGCATAATGGCAGTGTGTAACACAGATTATATTTAAGTCACAATAATATCATTCAGTGGTTTAAGAGGAGGTGTGGATACGAAATGGGAACCCAAAAGCATAACAAGAGACGGACGTACGGACAAACATCCCTATCACTACATACCCTCCCACCTTTCAAGCAGTGAGTATAAAAAAATGAGAATCGCATTGAAAGTGAAGTTTCTGTATACGATTTTTAACACTTCACAGCAGTGCATTTGATAAATTTGTGTTTAAGACAATCTCAATAAAAGACACAAAAAAAAACAGATTATTCATATTTTCAATCCTTCAGAGTATCTTCTGTAACCATTTATGGATTTTTAAAAAATCTTTATATTTGTTACATTCAACCAGAAAAGCACAGCATGCTTGTCTTACAGGATATACAAAGAGACTGATGAATAACAGTCCACATCACATATATATCTGAACTTTTACAATTCTTTCTTTTATTGTTTAAGAGTTTTTTTGTGCTTTTGCTTCTCTTTACAATAAAAGGACGACATTTTTCATCTCTTATACAATATTTGAAAATTAATCATCTTATTGGACTGTAAAAGGTGCAAGAAATAAATTATTATGTCTAATAAAATTGCTAGAAATTAAGGGGAGGTGTTTACTCTATCCATTTTTCGGATGCCTTTGGTTGTAAACGAATGATAAACAAGGGAAATTAAGTTTACAATAAAAGGCGCTAAAATTACATGTTCGTTGAGTAAGGGTACTTATTGTAAAATCTCAAAATTTGCATCCAATCAATACGTTTCAGGTTCCATTGCAAATAAAACATAAAAATGTTTACACAATGTAACAGTTGTCCCCGTGGGGATCCAGGTTAGAATATGTTCTCAGTACCCCCTTGCTTGTCGTAAAAGGCGACTTAGTAGGCGGTCCTTCGGATGAGACCGTATAAACCGAGACCCCGTGTCACAGCAGATGTGGCACGATAAAGATCCCTCCCAGCTCAAAACCGTAAGTGCCGAGCATAGGCCTAAATTTGCAGCCCTTCACCGGCAATGGTGGCGTCTCCATATCAGTGAAATATTCTGGAGACGGGCGTTAAACAGTATACAATCAATCAATCAGTCAATGTAACAGTTGTCTAAATTGAAAACTCTTTTTGTTTTTAATCAGAAAACTTTTGTTTTTTGCGTTTCTCACTGGTATAAAAACGTAAAAACTTCAGAAACTAATTATAACTTGATATTCACTTGATAACAAAGAATTTCATAACCCTGATTTCCCTTCATGTCTACACATTTGAACCACTGAAAGACATTCCTTGACGTTTGCATTGAAATCACCATTTAGCATCTTATAGATAAGATTCTCTAAAAAATGAGTACATCAAAATATCATTTTTATTCGACGGTATCGATCTAAATCGGAATCCCTTTCATTGTAAGATAGAATGCATATTCTTTATGAGCGTATAAAATTTTCAAATGAGATGTTTAATGACACATAATGAAACAGTAATCTTGCAATATGATTCAATACCATTTTTGCATGAAAAAGTATTTTGTTCATTCCTGTTGAATTCTCTATTTGTTTTCCATATCTTTCAGACTATCATTAAGTATTTCCCCATCGTTTTTCGTAGAAGTAGTATTCTAAGGAATCCTTAAAATCAAGATGAAAAACCTCAAAGTCTAGGGTCAAAGATTAAAACTATAAATATATCAATGTTGAGTTGAATGTCGGTTATCTAGTTGTTCCTCATTATATGTTTGGAGATTCCATTCTTCATCAATGTCAATTTCATGATTTCATTTCATGCATGATTCCTTTATCAAAGCTTCCATCACACGAACAAGTCTTTTCTATGTCAAGAAACATGTAAGCTTGAATATTTTATCTTGAGGCAGTAATTAACAGAATATTTTATTTAAATGTTTTTATCAAATGCACTTACTAAACGTAAATTGTTTCAGACATTTTTATCAAGACATTTTGACAGAAAATATTTCTTACTCAAAACATGCAAAGAATATTTTATTCTTTTTTATGTACAGAATAAGAACACTATAAACATTTTATAAACACAATGTAAATCAAAGTAACGTTAGATACACGTTTTTGAGATATTTTGACCAATATATTAATGACCACTAAGCGGTACATTCCTTTTGCCTGGGCAGTTTTTTTATTCTACACGAAATACGGAAAAATAGTGCGGGAATCAATAGTTTATCGTTCTACATAAAAACCACACAGGTAAGTTAATTGTTCACGCAAGTACACGTATTGATGTTTCGGCGTAAATGAGGTAATAAAGATGCCCAAGAGGTATATTAATGACGAAAAAGTTGAAGTACACCTTCTTTTACATATAATTCCAAGACTTGTTATAGTCTGTACACACGGTAACATCATATTATGAGGTCATTGTTCTTTACTATCCATTAACAAACAGCTTCGGCACAAAAGCATACCCTGTTTCATTTTACGTAAATAATGTTAAATTCAAAGAAGGAAATTCTAAAGATTAATAAAAGTTTAAGTGCTTCACTTATCGAATGCACATTCTTATCTGAAAAAAATTGAGGATACTGACACTGGGCAATAAATTCTTACCTTGTTTAGCCCAATACATCACAAATAATTAATGAACAATTGAACTGTCGATATTTGTCAGTATCATTAATTCTTGGATATTCTACTTCTATCCTGAAATTTGACAACAATATTCCGTTGTCTCTATGCTTTTTTACACAAAGTTCTTTATAACTTTTGGTACCATAGAGAAATGACGTCGTAATATGTACTGGCTTAAAATTATTATTTGTATCAAGTTGAATTCTAAATTAGTTTTAGAATATCTGTATTTATTGTCATTGGTATAGTTCTTTGGCGTTTAGATTAGTACATTTGCATAGCATTTTCCAAACTTAGCTTCTATTTACTTAGTTGCAGAATCATAGTCACGCTTTTGTAAAGTGCGCATTGTTGGGAAAGAAATTTTCTCTATGTGATACTACATGTACATACGAAAGCCCAGAAGGCTCATTCGAGATTCGAGATTCGAAATACGAGATTCGAAATTCGAGTTTCGAGATTCAAGATCCAAATTAACCAATCAAAAGGCAGGTTCAATTTTGATTACTCCCCTTTATTATGTTTTACTATCAAGAAATCGTTGAATATATTCATATCAAATGGGTCATTTGCTTAAATGATAATGCAAGAAAAAAAGATATATGTATCAAAACGAAATAAAAAGGAATTTTAGGTTATATTTTAGAAAATATATATAAATTCTTATTTTTCATCATTAAACAAAACAATACATAGGTATATAGAATATTATATGGTCTTATCGTTGATTATTTTTAAATAAGAACATTGATGAGGGAGAAAATTATTATTTATATGAAATACTAATGAGGGCACATTTATTTACATTGTGCCCCCCCCCCCTCCCAATAATTTTATAATTTTGTCGATATATAAAATACTATAGAAATCATATACTATATGCTTGTGCCCCCTCAATTAAACATCTGATGACTTTTTTTGCTTTGTTTTTGGTTGTCAAGAAATTTTTGGTAGTTGAAAACTGAAAATGTATGGTGCCCCCCCCCCCCCCCCCCCCCCCCCGAATGAAATGAGCATTATGGTTTTACTAGTATATTTGAGTCTTTGACCAAGTCGGGCGAGACCCGAGCGGTTTCCTTTTAAATAATTATCGAATATATATTTATTGTATCTATGCATCGCAAGATTGACAATGAATGTTGATAACCACATATTTGCCCCCCCCCCCCTTTCCCACTTGGCCATTCCCGTAATATTTTTCCGATAGAATATACTATAGAAAACAGTAACTTCATGCTTATGTCCATTCAAAAATAACTTTCATTTACCATGATAACCCCTATTTTTCGAGGTTAGGGTAGGGATAGGGGGATAAACAATGATTTTTTTTTTTGATTTATTATTCCCAATGGGTCATTATCTTTATTAAGCATGCATGTTTCAGCCATCCGTATTTAAGGGGCTGTCTATTGGTTTCATAAACTTGGTCACTGGCCACTATCCACCTTGAAACCCGTAGTACTAATTATTACAGAGACGAAGCATCGATTTTGAAAGTGGGGTGGGGGAGGGGGAGGGGGCAGACAAAAATATTATTGCAAACCTGAAAATAAAATCTGACAAAAATTTGTCTAAACCCGAAAATCCTATTTCGGGGCGTAAAGGGGGCGGGGGGGGGGCGAACTTCATTTAGTACCTAATTTCTTTTAATACACTACTACTTAAACTTCTTTGACTATTCTGCACCACTGTACCAAATTAAAACGTGGGGGGGGGGGGATTGGCAACCGACCTTTCGATGAACATTTTCAACAGTAAAAAAAATTACGTGCTGTTAATCTATTTTAAGTTTACTATTATGTCAACAACCCTGTATCCAAAGTAGATAACACGAAATATATATAATTCTTTATATTAATCTCTTATGACATTTAAGAAGCTATTATAAATTGATTAAGCATATCTTGTAGACGAAAATCTAATATTTCTTAAAATTTCGTTTTGATAATATATAACACCTTTTCTTGCGTTGTAATTTAATCAATTGACCTCCTCGGTATTAAAATACTCAACGATTTTTTGATAGTAAAAAATAATAAAGGGGAGTAATTGAATCTCAAACCGCCTTTTAATTGGTTATTTTGGATTTTGAATCTCGAAACTCGAATTTCGAATCTCGAATTTCGAATCTCGTATTTCGAATCTCGAATCTCAAATGAGCCTTCTGGGCTTTCGTATGTACATCATATTTGTGATTTTTTTTTTTACAGAAGGCAGTGTCATGGAATGTGACTTTAGCTGTATAATTTTTAAGATAGTGAAAATAAAATATATTTTGAAGAGGCATATTGTAGAGAGTGTAACATACGTGTGATATTTAAAGTCTATCATTAAGTTTAAAATAAATGAAAAGTAATCAACAATAAATTCTTTTAATGATCCTTTTTAAATGCTTTATTAAAAATTAGTTTAATGAACAAAATCGACATTTCGTTTTATCGAATTCAAAATTGTTTTAAGTTCTTAAAAGATTAAAAAAAAAATGCATCAATGAAAATACAATGTTTGAAACTGCCGTTTACATTTTAAAAAAGTAGGAAGAAGAAGGAGGAGCATTGCCTATGTACATTCTTTAGAAAACGGTCTTCCTATCTTCTTGATCATTTCTTCAAAATGCTTTTAATATGAAAATAGGTAACTTGTTTACTTATGCCATGAATTTTTTTCATTTTCTAAATAATTCTACCATTGCCGTAAAGTGTGCGGGAAAAATCAACTTCAAATCAACTAAGACGTCAAACGTCTTAATAAATATTTAGATGTTGTAAATCATTGAGAGTAAAAATATTCGTAACTGCATCTAGATATATAATTTTCTAGAGACCACGCCTCCTTAGAATTAGAATATAAACTCACTTCTCAACACTACCAGCATATTTAAGATTGTGCTTTGGTCTCGCTCATTTTAATGACAATGAAAAAAGATTTTATTTTTCATTTATATCTTTTAATTTCTGCGATATTTGGATACGTTTATTCAGTTGGAAATCAACAGGAAAAACAATTTCTTCGCAGTCCAACTTATAGAAAAACATCCAGTATTTTACGGGATATCCTCAAACAAGAATCTTCACTGCAATTTTCTATGGTGCAAAAAATTCAGAACTTGGTTACGGATGCTATAGAAAACAATAATGTTACTGAAATTTTAAGAAAAAGGCTTGTTTCTTTAGGAAACAAAGTTAACTCTATTCAATCAGAAAACCGAAAACTGGAGAACGCATTGGATGCATCATTAGAACATTTCCATGAGGATCAGAATGAAACAAACCTACAGTTACAGAATGTTCCCTCAGTACCTAAGCCAAGTAAGAAAATAGTTAGTTCTTTTTCTGAACGACACTTGGAAAAATGATAACAAAATGTACGGTTTCTATTCAGATTGGCACCTCGAGTAAACAGTTTCAGATGTTAATAAAGAGTCGTAATAAATAACGTACTTTGCTCGCATCATATTAATGTGGCAAACCTTGTATGGGAGCTCTTACTTGTACTAATAATATTCAATGTCTTAAAAGTCAGATAATTTATTGAATAAATTTCCTTACTTTGATTTCAGTGATAGTATCTCTCAATTTCTTGAATTCGCCAAAAGGCCTGAAAAATTAGTTGATAGAAAAGTCTGTAGGTTAATTGCTTGAACTACTTTTACATAAGTATGTTAAAATGAATATGAAATCATTTGCAACGTCTTGCGGGATATCAACAAGCTCTATTTCAAACTACTATCTTTTAAACTTTTTATTTAGCCATTACCCTTAAGTATCCTAGCAAGACCACATTCTCTATTCTGAAATGTCCATAGCGTATATCATACCTAATATTTATTCAAAGTATTTTACAATAGACACGGATTTACTAAGAGAAAGTTTCGAAATGCAGTAAACGAAGCAGTAAATAATAAACATAAGTAAACAAGCGTTTGTTGTTTTTTTTTTTTATATGAAAATTTGTATAATAAGAATATTACTAAATACTGCTGTGGAAAGATGCATTAAAACATAAAAAATAGAATGACAACTGAAAAAAAAAATTACCTGATATTTTTTATTTGATTTTTATTAGTTAAAAGTAGAGGTAGCTAACTTATACTAAAAAACTTTTTTAAAGTCCTTCTTATGGAGAAGATTTTTCAAAGATTCTACCATATTTTCTCAAATTTTAATTGCATATATCTCCTCTGCGAAGAGAAAACGAGACTTTGTATGAACAAACTAAGAACCTCCTCACTCAAGGATGTTTCGTGGTAGGTTTTGTTGAAATCGATATTGTAAATAGTTTTTATACTACAGACGATAAACGGAAGCAAGACTTTGGTGAGCTACAATGCTAATTAATTATGACATAATACCCTAAAACCTAGAAAATAATAATAAGCCGATTTTGAGAATTTGAAAATTACTCGAAAATAAGCCTGTTTTGATAATAATCCGGGAAAAATGTTAAACTAAAATGTGTTTCATTTTTTTAAGCTTAACCCTAAGTTTAAATTTTCTGTTCTAACTTTTTCTTGGAGAAGTAGTATGTCTAGCAGTTGCCATTGCTAAAAGCTCACAATTTTAAAAAGGGAATGAAAGACACTTGAACACTTAACTCTAAAAGGAGTTTACCTGTGTATTTTATTTTTAGAAACAGTAAAACAAGTAGTTCTCAATATATCGATTACAATTTATTGTATTGATAATAAGCTGTGATAATGCTCTCGTTGCTTACAAGTTTTTGTTATTGATAATAAGCCGCGATTTGAAAATGTAAGACGGTTTTCAAAATAAACCTCCATTTTCTTACCAAAACTTAAAGTATGTAACTCTGTTCTATGTATTTATTTTTCATAACAGTGTCACAATGTCTAAAATAATATTAATAGATAGATACGTAATGTTATGTTCCTATTAATTTCAACATAAAATGTATTTTTTTTAATCAAATAGGTCATCATTGCTTTTACCCTTTTGATTGTTTCGACATCTATAATTGTGGGGAAAGAGGAACAGATGTTTATGACATATACCCCTTCACAGCCCCTGTTTCTACTAAAGTTTTGTGTGACATGGATTCCAATGGAGGGGGCTGGACGGTATGTGTTATCTACTTATAGTTTTGTTTTTGTTTTAAATAATCCTTTTCTGAGTTTAAAAATAATTTAATATTCTTTGCTCAGATATATATTAACGCCTTTTAATTAAAGATATCGTTTTACTCCTTCCAGTTTGGTAAGCCAATCATTTTGTTCTTAAAATAAAATTGAGTAGAAATATATAGAACTTTAACTTTTTAAAACACGTACGTTTTACACTTCAGGTTATTCAGCGCAGGCATCGAGAAAATCGCCGTGTAGAATTTAATACTACATGGAATGAATATAAGATAGGCTTTGGGGATGCTCGAGGGAATTATTGGCTTGGTAAGTGTACAAGACATCTGCTCATACGAAGACAATTGACTTTGATGTACATGTACTGATTATCTCTTTTTAAATAATGGTATTTTTTCACAAAAAAATTATTTGTACTTTTTTTTTTAATAATGCATTTGATAAGAATAATATTGAAAATGACATCGTTAATGATAAAAGATATCAAACAGTTAGTGGAATTTTCAGCGAGATGGAAATATTTAAGTGCCATGCATTCTCTAATGATTTGAAATTTTACATAGGTGCTGTGGCACACATAGTCTCCAATTTCTCCAAACTCTCTATGAGAAAAGTCATTGATACCCTTAACTGAAACCAGGCAAAAATTGGTTGCTATGTTTTATAGTTACCATGGTAACATGTCTTGAAGTTCGAAAAATGGCATTTTTTAACATGATTAGAGCCCCATAGTTACATGTAACATTTGCGGCAAAGCAAACTATTGGCAATGACTGTTTCTAAAAGATGAAGGTCAGGTGTCTCAAATGCATGATAAAAATGTTTGGTAAATCAACTATAACATATGATATGTTACTATGGAAACAAAATATTCAAAAGTAAAAAAAAATATTCATTGAATTTCATAAAGTCATACACGTAAAAATAAAAAGCAATTTTAGGATGAAATGTGACCAAATGATAGAAAAAAGAGCCTTGAAACATATACCAAGAACAGATATGATATTTCATTTTGGTTGGCAATGGTTGCCAAGGTTTTTAGACCACAGAGAGCCTTCAAAGTAACACTCTCTATGTTTAAATCTGATCCTGTCTTTAAAAAAACACATTTCCTCATAACTTATGATCAATTTTTTAAGATGTTGGTGTGCTTGAAGTTTTCCCATTTGAAAAAATTCAGATTAGATTCTTTAAATAGAGCGTTTCTATGAAAATAAGCAGAAAATATATGCTTAAAAACCTGAAAAAAATATGTTCTTTCCTTGGATAAGTACCATTAAATGTAGATTCACAAAACTTTTCTGATTGATATTTATTAACAGCTAACTTGACTTTTAATTTTGACTATCATCCAATCTCTAAGTGGATGCAAGAATTTGGCACACAAGGTTTAATATTGATATATACTTCACAAAATAGAACATTTTTCCTTCTTGGTAACCATAGCCACAGTGTTGTTTTATTCATCAAATTTTATCAATATATGTTATTCAACTTTAGTTCTAATAGATAAGTTCTACTGAAGCTGAGTCCTTTAATTTGTTTCTTAATTAAATGGCAATTTAATTCTTAATGCAGCGAAAAGTAATTCACTTTTAAGCACTGGTACTTTATTTCCATGGTAACACTGCAAAGTAGCAATTATACCCAATTTTTCTTGTTGTTTTGGTGTTGCAAGGTCCTAAGGATGCATATTTGCCAGTTTTGAATTTGCATGTTTTTACTCAAGGTAGTAGCATTAAGCCAATCTTAGTTACTAGTTTTGCATGCTTACACTGTGTTGCCATGGCAACCATAAAAGGTATTTATAGAATAATATTGCTTATACTTATATACTTAAGGTCGAAAATTTTCATTGTTTTTCTTCTCGTTGATTGTGTTTGAGCATGTAACACCTACCATTAGTGAATACGGAGTGTTTTTCAGCATATTGCAGCATTTTAAATGTATTCCAAACGTACCCTTGGTTACCACTTTCTTAGAGATATATTCTAAACAGTTTATTTACAGTATAAGTGATATCAAGGTGTCATGTTTTTGTGAGAATGGTTTGTTTGCTTTTTCTAGTTTTTATTTCGCCATAGTCAAGATTTAGAGTGGCTGAAAATCTCGATTTTTCAAGCTTTTCCGGCTGTTGCCATAGCAACCGAGACACATAGCAACGAATTTTTTTTTATATTTGTTTCTGGTGTCAAGTACTAAGCATTGGTGAAGTTTCATCAAAATCGGTGACCATGCGTGGCAACGAAGTTTAAGTGGTTACAGAGAATGGCTTTTAAACTGGTGGTTTATTATTTTAGCGAGAAGTAATTTGTGTGATTTTATGAGGTCAGGAAAGATAAGTAATACTTCCAATGCTATATATGAATTTTAAGCGATTTTCAATTAAAGCGACCTCACCACCCTTTCTGATAGTGTCAAAAATTTGATCCCCGTTAAGAAAATTCTGCTTTAACGGTATACAGATTTGCAAGAGGTGTGAAGATTACGAACATTTTTCAAAAGTCTACAAGATCAATACAATTTTATAAGCACTGACCTCTAAAACCCTCAGAAGTGAGATCACATTCCATGCAGGAGTAAGAGCATATCTGCAAGATTTAATGTGTTGAACAATGAAGATTATGTGAATTTACTAATTCCTTTTTTTTCGTAATGTTATTACGATAAATCAACGTAACGTACAATTGAGGCAATCTGACGTTTGCCCAGTTTTATTTATTTGAGCAATCGCAGAAAATGAGCATTTGTACATGTACATATACATGATTGTAACTACATGTAGATTTTGGGTCAGGAAACCATTTTGTCTTTATATTCGAAATAAATAAATTTTGTTTACTGACTCGGGGAATACCAACCATGACAAATATCATTATACAAAATTGATTAAAATGGTTAAAGTATTCCTCATATAATACATACAGTAGTAGCTGTTTTTATTAAACAAACGATTTTTTTTAATTATACGAAAAGTTCGTATTAATAGTGATTTGCTACCTATTTTACAACATATTAAAATGCTTGAGTGAATACTGAGGTTTAATTTCACGAATTCTTACTTATATTTGGTCCCTTTAGTTTGTTAATGTACAGGGTATATCCTCAAACCTTCCCTCCTTAATTTTTTTTTTCGAAAAATAAGACGCGTCGAACAATTTACGAACTATTTTAAATCATTATTTTTTTCATTTCCCATTTATGCGTCAAAAATTTCAATGATAAATTTTTCTTTCTGCAGAGGAAAAATATTGATCTAAAGCACGCGAAGCTATTGGCTTCTTCCAGGGATCTGTCACTATCACAAAAGCTATATCCCTGAAGCATGTAATCTTAGGGTTCTTTTTCAAAGGATACAAAGTCTTAATTAAAAAAAAACGTATGAATAGATTTTTTTTAATCTACTTCTACTTGAGCTCACAATTAGTACTTGGAAACAATATTATTTACAAATTTACAAACATGTATACTTTTCCTAGGTTATTTTTCTCAATAGAAAGCGATGCAAGCAGAATTTCCATATTACCGGGTACTGTATGATTGGGCTTCCTGCACCTGGTCTCAAAAACTTCCTTTTACAATGAGTACTTGGCGCTTCATCCTTATTATTACTACACAATGATCTTCACAATTCCTTGGCTTAGGAGATAACGATGATTTGATTGATTAAATGTATATTGTTTTACGTTCTTCTCGAAAATTTTTCACTCATATGGAGACGCCACCACTTGCCGGTGGAGAGCTGTTAATGTTGTCCTATGCTCGACACTGAGGTCCATTGAGCAGGGAGGGATCTTTTTCGTGCCAGCGCCTACTGCGACACGGAACCTCGGTTTATACGGTCTCATCCGAAGGACCGGTCTTCACGTCCCACAGTGGGATTCGAACTTGCGACGTATTTTATTTTTAGCGATGAATCTTTTAACGATTTTAACATGTTCACTCAAAAAGCTATTACAAATAAAACTCAATTAATTTTAGCGATATTCAATTTCAGCGATCTCAGCACCCTCGCTACTATTGCCAAAATTAAATCCTCGCTAAAAATTCTGCTTATACGGTACTTATAAAAGATCACTTAATTTACTACATGCATGATCTGTGTACTGTTTCTTTTGTTTAAATAAGGTTTTAATGTTCAAATAAATATTCTTAAGCAAAAGGGTACATAAGTATAAGTACAATTACTATAAATTGATGTAAGTACAGGACATCTTCTCAAACTTACATACCAATATAATGAAATAAAAGTAAAAGTAAATGATAACATAATTAGCAGCGGTTGAAAAATTGTGGATGATAATGATTCGATAGAAGTAGTAAAAAAAATAAAACTATTTAAATTTAGGAAATGACGTTATTCATAAGCTGACCACAAGTTTCAACAATTCCTTGTATATCAGACTGGAAAATACGAAGAATCAGTCCTTCAAAGTACAATATTCCTCATTCTCTATTTCTGCTGAAACTGACAGTTACAGACTATCTTTGGGAAACATGTCAGGAAATATTGGTACAAAGCCTTTATTTTATTAAACTTTTATTTTTCAAAATAAAAAAAAAATCGAATGAATTTAAGGAAAACTCAATATGATAAAAAAAAAAAAACCTTTGTAAAATACTTTTTTGATATGATTACGTTTATTTTTCACAAAATAACCTCATTATGTATAAAAATATAAATTATTTTTGTTTCAATGTCTAGTTGATGCATTTAGAAAGCACCTGCTGATTAACCAACCGTTTTCAACATACGACCATGACAATAACAACAGGTGTGCAGCCAAGTCTGGATCTGGTTGGTGGTACAATTTCTGTACTCACGTAAATCTTAATGCGCCTTTTTTTGAAAAGCATGGTGATCGTGTATGGTATGACGCTATTTCCCAAGGCAAGGATCTTTTAATTTCGGAGGTGATGATCAGAAGAAAATAATATATTTATAAAATGAAAAAACAAACTGAAGCTGTCATTAATACTTATAGATACTGCTTTGACCTCACCAATAAATATTAATTGTGAATGTAATTGTGACCTCGAAAATGATATAAAAACAGCTTATAAGCACATCTTAAATTGAATAAAAGATCGAGAATGCAAATGATGAAAAGACAAATTCATAATATCAAACAAAAACATCGTCTGTTCTTCAGATTGTTTCAATTATAAATGAAGTGATTATTTTTTATAACAAAGAGAGGTTCAATTACATTCAATAATTGTCTTGTGCGTCATAATTATAATTTATAGTCTAGGAGCTCTTTCTTACTTGTACATTATGTTCTCTTTAAAAATTAGGTTTGTTAAATCAAGGTATACGACCTTTATTTGTTTATTTTACAATTTCACCAGGCTTGCTTTATAAAAATAAAAGTTTGAAAATAAGGGATTGCGAAAGTGAATTTTTGAAATAAGTTGTACATTTTTTTACCATTAATTTGCAAGTCCTTTTAAAATATATATTTATATATCCATTCATATTTATCAAAACAAGTTTAGTCAGCGATAACCCATACTTATTGACTATATGTCGTATGCAGACACAGATTTTCATTCTTAGTATTGTAAAATAAATTCTCCTAATTTCAGATAATCTGTTGTTTTTTAGCCATATGATATGCGCATGTAAAAGTGAATTTCTAAATTACTATTTTTCATATTCGTGCCTCTAAGTCACCTCTAAAATAAAAACACCAACTGGTTATTTTTGAAAAGAAATACTTGCTAATGTAAATTCTTAGTTGCCTTAATTTTAAGCGTTATTTCAACAAATGATTTTAGTCAATATACAGATCTATAACATGTAGGTTAACCATTCGTTGTGATAGATTTTGTGAATTTATTCCTAGTTTTATGTGCATTTTCTGCTTGTTATGCAATGATTTGTATATTTGATGATACTTTTCTTCTGTTTCTGGAAAATTTTCATAATCCCATGGTATCAAGCAACACGGCATTGTAATATGTATGTTCACACTGGTGGACCTTTACAGCGAAATACGTACTTTGAACTGTTGTGAGGTCTGCGTCTTATATTAAGGGTTGGAAGGATAGCAAGATGGAAGAGGAAAATGGTGGACAGTGCCTGTATGTTTAACTCTTAAGCCATTTTCCAGAATCTTTATATAGCCCAGTTTCTCCTTATGTCGTCTCCCAGGTGATTCAATACGCAAGAGCAGGACTTTTCAAACATTTCGCCTTCCGGTTAAAGCTAATTTACGTTTGAAAAGGCTAGTGAAGATTTTAGATATAAGACTTTTATTTGATTTTAATGATAGACAACTTTAAAAATGCAACAAATAATACATTATACATTTTAAATTTTGACCTTGACCTTGCAGATTTCCGAACTGACGAAAAAACTTTAACGTTGGTTATAACTTTTGAACGGTAAATGCTAGGGCTTTCTTACTTCAAATTTTATATGTTATGCTTGTGAAAATATCTTTAATTGGATGTCAATAACTTTGACCCTTTGGCCTCGGAGTTTGACCTACTTTTTACAAACTTTAACATTGGCCATAACTTTTGAACATTAAAAGCTAGAGCTGTCATATTTCACATATGTGATTCTTGTTACAACACATTTCATTGGATATCAAGAACTTTTAACCTTTGACCTTGACCTTGGAGTTTGACCTTCTTTTTACAAATTTTAACCTTGGCCATAACTTTTGAACGGTTAGAGCCAGCGCTATCAAATTTCCCATGTATAATCTTTGAAACAAGGCCTTTCTTTAGAATTTAAGCCTTGAGTCTTTGACCTTGACCCCGGAGTTTTTCCTACTTTAAAAAATGTTAACCCTGGTCATAACCCTTAAACAGGTGGTGCTAGCGTTTTATATTTCACATTTATATTTCTGAAAAGGGACCAACATATTTGATTTGTATTTGAGAAAGCTAAACCTTCGCTATGATGCCATACGGGGGCATTAGTGTTTCACAAACACATCTTATTTCCCATCAATTATTAATTTAAAAAACTACCTATTAAGAGCACGCGTTATCCTGGATGAAAAAGCACGACATTGGGAGGAATTATAATTTTCTGAAAATTTCATTAAATGGTCCAGTTTCAAAGAGAAAAGTAATTGATACACATTATTATAAAAATGACTTGATATACAGACCTTTATCGCGTCGAATGAAAGAATCATATATACATGTATATCTGATAATATGTTGACATAGCGACAGATAGCGAGGTAGATATTTATTCAGTTTTTATTTTGACCAGGCTCTAGTGTCAAACTGCACATGACATTTGGTGCGTCTAGACTCTGACGTCACATGACGTCGTAGTTTTAAAAAAAGTTTTAAAAAACAGCACGAAGCCTCTACATTGCTAACTTTTATGAAGAATGTTATTATTTATCTGCAATATATTCTTTGAGTCAAGTCGAAATAATTTTTTGACAAACTCTTGTTATTTATTTCTAGGACATTGCTTAAACAAGCGATGCATTGTGGGTTTTATGTTACTGCAGAAAAAAAAAATCGTACGAAAGTGGGCGGGTTTGTCAAAGATGAGAAGTGAAATAAATATTTTTTGACTTACAAAACTTCGAATTTTAAAAATTGTTTTATCATTTGTACACAATATTACATAGCACCTGGAAAATACAAGTCGCTGTGCTCGCTCTTATTTAACCACTTTGCATAAAATCTTTGCATATCGAAATGTGAGTAAATTGTAAAAATCAGATGTCAGAAAGAGAAATGAAATGCTTCATGTCTTTTTTAATAAGAAACCGTGAAAGATAAATTGTTTTGAAAAATTACAGTTATGACGGTATCTTTGGAAAATGCTATCAGTCAAATACAACTGAACAAGGATAAATAAATTACAAAAAAAACAAAAGCAAATGTAGGTTCAAATTAGATATGCTTGTATATTTAATCCTCATAATAAATGAAATTAGATTTAAAAATGTTAGTACCTACAGTGTACCTTGCAGAATCATGCATCCACTTTGTATCCCCTATCCAAATCCACAGTACTACGTGGGGGGGGGGGGGTCGAAGTCAGTGCACCCAATACCTATGGATGGGAATTACATCACAAGCAATCCGAGTCCGTATCATTGGTTTTCAAAGGGGACAATCTTCAGAAAGAGTTAACAAGCCGAAAAAAACCCAAATAACCTGTGTACAAATAATAAAATTCTCTTTCGGGAAGGATGTTTGCTGAAGGGGGGGGGGGGGTGGGGGGACCTTCGTTTACTTTCCGATTATTTTGGTACATTTTTTTCTTCCAATTCTTAGTTGCAGTGTTGTTTTGGGGGAAGGGCTAAGTCCTGAAGTAGGTCTTCCTGTTAATCTATACCTGTAGTAAAGAGTTCAAGACGAGTAGCTATTTAATACTTTCTGTATTTAACTTAAACCTTTATGACCAATTAGACTGAAATAAAACAGAAAAAAAGGCATAAATGCAGTCAAATATACAGTTTTATATAGGGAATCATTATTGTACAGGACGACAATAATGTAATTTTGATTCAATTGAAACTTTTAAATAGTTCGCCCATCGCAAATATGATGAAAAGAAGTTTATTAACGTTATTTTTTTTCTCTTTTTTAAATAGTTATTTACAATTTTACAATTTTGCAGCTCATATTGCTTTAAATAATGGCAATAATATGGACATTTTTGTTTATATCCGGCCTCTTGTTGACCAATTCACAGTACATCAATTTGTCTTTAAAAGATGACTGTAATGAACTAATGAAATATTTAAAAAGATAATGGAAGAAATTCAAACACTCCGGAGACTCCAGATAAAGCTTCAACGTGAAGTAGATATGTGTTGATCAACAGTAATTCAACAAGTATGTATCGGAGAATTTTTTATTTTAATCCGAAGAATCTTAATTTGTTTGTTGTAGTACGTATAGCTATCTACCTAACATTTTATTGCTGTATTAGAAACTTTAATCACAGAAAGGAAGATGTGATTGTTCAGATATTATTTTGGTGGATTCTATAAATTTGACAGTTTGAATTAAATTCGAAACATAAACCAAAAATCAGCATATTCTTTAAGACCAGAACTACATGTTTGTAGCTTTCTACTGATAACAACCTTAATATTAAAACATTTTTTTCGAATTCAATCACAGCACTCGAACTGTCCGAATTTTTAATACGAACAGTGTGAATGATAAATTGTATTTGCTGCCAAGCTCTTTGTTTCAACGAAAGAATCTACGAAATGATGACTGCTAATTTACATATTTCATCCGCCTGTCGATATTTTGCCTCTTTTTAGAAATTGTTGAGTTCATATTTTGAGCATGCTCTTGCTTATCGAATGAAATTAAAAAGAGATATATGAACACCGTATGTAGGTGGTGAAGGTATATTGCTGCATAAGATAGAAAAATTGACAATTTACAGTGTATACATGAATATTTTTTTTTACCTAATTGCATTACAAATTATACAAATAATAAATTCCTAGAATATAAAGAAATTGTAAACCTATTGTGACGTTCAAAATACTACCCTTCTGAAACCATCCTTCTTATTCTATACAAATATTTTTCACTTCAAATTCGATTTTTGTGCAATTTTGAAAACAAAAATTAAAAACTACGCTGTAAAACTTATTCATATTATTCATAGAAGCATGACACAAGCTCTTATTTTCAAAATTTTTGACAAAAGTTTGTTTCTATTGACATCTATCCATAACTTTAAAATTTAACATTTTCTTTCATACTTTTTTTCTGCGGTCAAACTGCTATTACCTGGGATACTGTCCCGAAGTTAGCCACTCCTTTAACAATCTATCAAAATTGATCTCTATTCTTTTTTTTATTAT